CCGCCCGCAGGGGGGCAGCTCAAGCGCGCCCGGGCTGTCCCGCTGCGGGCGTGCGCCGAGGCTTTGCTCCCCATCTCCCTGCAGACCAGAGAGACGGGGAGCAGCTTTTCTCGCCCCGGAGGACGGGGGCGGCGGACCGCGGCGCATCTGGGCGTCCCACCGCTCCCGTCCTCTGGGGCGAGAAAAGCCCCGTTCGTAACTGCGGATCCGACATAAGTCGGATCCGCGTAACTCGGGGACTGCCTGTATGCAATTTCCAAAAAGAGAGACAGGAAACTACTTACAGAAGTGTTCAGAATAGCAGATTATTGGGACAGATCAATATGGGGGAGGAAACAGAAGACAGGAAGCCCTTAGAGTTATAGTACCAACCTGTCAATCGTGATCGACTGGTCGATCAGGAGGGCTCGACCAGTCAATCTTGAGGCATTCAGGGGCCCCCTCCAATTTTCCCCACCCCCAAGAAGCCCAACTACCAACCCCCAGCAACAATGGAGGTAGTGCTGGCTTCTCACAGGGCGGGCGAAAGTCCGGCAGCTGTGCGCCACGTCTGGGGTTTCCGGAAGTGTGCTGCCTGCTCCCCTCCTCCAGGTCTGTGGCGTGCTGGGGACTTGCTGTGCGGGAGGGGAGGAGGTAGGAGTCCCGGGGGAAGGTGCGCACTGGGGCTTCCCTCCTCTGTGGGGGAGAGGGGAGGAGTCCCAGTGGGAGGCACAGGCCTGGGCTTCCCTCCTGGGGGGTGGGAAAAGGAGGAAGAGGTGGAGGAGGGGTTAGGAGTCCCAAGAGAAGGCGTGTGTCGGGATGGGGGGAGGAGTACCAGTGGGAGGCACCTGCTGGGGCTCTGGGGGGAGAGGGGAGGAGGGAGAGGGGTTAGGAGTCCCCCCCTGCAGAGGAGGGAAGCTCTAGTGCATGCCTCCTCTGGAGTGGGAGGGGGAAGGTGCATGCCAAGGATTCTCTGTCCTCTGCCCCAGCCAACACCCTGCCCCGTTCCCACTGGCACTCTGTCCCCTGCCCCCATTGGCATCCTGTCCCTTGCCGCAGAACCCTGTCCCCTGCCCTAGCACCCACTAGCAGATTCCCCGACCTTCTCATAAATAAAAACAATGCTGAAACTTTTTGTGTTTGACATATTGTATTTAAAAATGAAGCCTGGCCAACAAACCCTCATCTGTCCGCAGCATCATAACACTCCTGCACGCCCTCCCCGACCCTAGATCTGAGCCTATCATACACTGGAACCCCCTGTCCTGAACCTCTCACATCCCCATACTCCTGCACCCCCACATCCTCAGTCTTCTGCCACAACACTCCTACACCATCCACACACCACAAATCTGTGTCCTGAGCCCATCATACTCCTAACCTCCCTGTCCTGAGCCCCTTGCATCCCCCAGCCAAACTCCTTTACCCTCACATCCACAAGCCTGTGGCATGCTCAGCACCCCAACCGTCCCCAGCCTGGAGACCCCTCCCTGAGCCAGCATCCCCTTCTCCACCTCCTCCTGCATCCAAATTCCCTCCCAGAGCTTGCACCTCTCACCCCTTTCCACACCCAACTCCTTCAGTCCCACCCCAGAGCCCACACATCCTGTCTCAACCCAGTGAGGGTACGGCTAGACTGCAGGAGTTTTTCCGGGATCCAGAGGAATCCCAGAAAAACTGTTCTGCGTCCGGTGATGCGTTTGTTCTTCCGCTTTTTTTAA